AGCACTAATAAACAAACAAACTCTGATTCTCTTCAAACAGTTCACATAAAATCCAGCGCCTCCGCAAACACTCTTCCTCCCTCTAACTCCTCATCATACAGTGGGCTCTCAGGTTTCTGGGGCCTCTTCCTACTGCATGGTAATCACAGCAGGGTCAGCTGAGGTCAGGCCTGTCAGCGTGGCTCCCAGGAGAAGCTCTGAGGGCCAAGAATCCAAAGTATTTCTGAGTCCTACTGGGGCTGAGTCTGAGACCAATTTGAGAGGGACTGTAGCACAGGAAACTAATCAGCTAAATGCATGGAGGTGGAATTAGTTTGGTTTTAACTGCTTCACATCGAGAGGGTTATTATTTAAGAACAGCATACCTCTCTGTTGTCTCATGTGAGCGCATGAACACAAACATGGTGTATGTGTTGCAGTGTTGGAGGGTGATACTGCCTGCACATGGACTACGCATGTAAACCATTATATACGTGGTGAACTGGTGGTACTTTAGAGAAGGTCGTCAGTTGGGAGAGTTGTGTTATTGAGCAACAACAACATAAATGTCAATACCTTAACTCTACAATCGCTGCGCCTCTGATCAGGTCTACAGAAAGCATTTTGTGGCTCTGCGCCCTTCGCCCCACATCGTCTGAAGTCCTAGCAACTGATGTTGGTAGATGATTTGACTATTATGTCTGACACGCTGTCACAACTGTCTAAGTCAGCGGTTCCCAACCTTTTCCAACTCAAGGTCCGCTTCAAAATCTCAAAAATGTTGGTCGCCCACATCTGACCTCCCAACATTATAGAGGCCAAATAATTTGTTCCTCAGAGCACTTTTCACTTTAATGATAATGACGGAACATTCGGGACTGAACTGACAGCTGGGAAACATGTAGGAAGCTAATTTTTTATCAATTGTCGCCATCTGTGTCTTGATTTTTTTCCTTTTAATTCTTCCTGTTGGTAACCAGCTATCCATTTTGATCCTGCAGTTTTTGCCACGGACGTCAACTGTTAGTGCAACTGTAGCTTATGATGAAATCTACTGTAAAGATATATGGTTTTATGTCTATATTTATTTTATATTTTTTATATGATGTGTATTGGTTGTGACTTCTGTTGCGAATCAAATTGCCCCTCGCGGACAATAAAGACTTTCTAATCTAAGCTAATCTATATGTATATATATATATATATACTGTATGTATGTATATATATATATATATGTATGCCTACACACATATATACATATTTACATTTCTTTTAAAAAACTGTACCATTTTACAATCCACCTGCAATACCTTCCTTGGCCCACATGTTGGGAAGCACTGTCTTCAGAGTCATCTAATGATGACTCTGAAGACTGTTGTTGTTGTGCTGTTGCTATAGTAACATGGTTCTGTGGAACGTGATAACTGCTATTGCCATTTCTGTCATTATGCTATGGAAATATAAGACAAGTGATGTTAAACACATGATTATTGATTCATTTTCATTCAGACTCTGGTCATCGTGTGACTTGTAGCCGGGGCCCGGGGCAGTCACCTGGATCTCACTGTTCACGGCTGTGTCAGCGCCCTGGGAGCACTCAGCTCTGAGTGTTGAGCTCCACAGTTCAGACAGCCCCGCACCTATGTTTTCACCTCCACATCGAGCTCCGACCTCCATTCATCACAGCTGAGTGCTGGCCTGAGCTGGTGACACACTGGGACTGCAGCTGTCGTCTAGATCGTACATTATGTCAGTTAAAGCTGTTTCTTATGAGCTGGATGACAGATAGTCCTTTAATTGTCTTGTTATTTTTCTCTCCTCATGTGAGAAAACATGAGCCTGTACATGGGAACGTGGACTGTTGCTGTGTTTGGATAGAACAATGTGAACGTCTCGCAGAGCGTGTGTGAGCACTGTTAATGTGGTGATATACAGGAAGCTGACAGCACGGTGACGTGGATCCAGGTCATGTAACATAGAAGGCTTCATGATAAATAAACAGCTTCATCGGTGTGTGGCACTGAGTCTCTCAGGACCGTTGTGCTGTGAGCTCTGACACAGGCAGAAGGTCAGAGGTCAGCACCACCTCAGTTTATCATCAGGATGTTTCAGTGTAATGCAGCGGAGCCTAATCCTTTCTAATCTATAATCTATAGTCCACTGGTGACCTGACATTACCTGAGTTATGATCTGCTGAAACGATGTAACCGTGAATCTGATCTTTCATCAATGAAAACTGCTGAATATCTCCTGTCACCAGCTCTCTCTTCTCTCTGTCCTGTTTCATAGACCTGTCACAGGTGTAACTAATGACCATAATGATGTTCCACTCAAGTGTCCCAGGGAGCCATGACAGAAGCTGTGTCCCAATCAGGGGGCTGCATTCGAAGGCCGAATGTGTCACAGCGGCGAATTAGACCATCCTGTTTCAATGGATCCTTCAAATGTGGCCGAGAAATGTGTCCTGCAACCTATCCCAAGATTCATTGCGTGCCGGTAATGAAAACAATCAAAACTGACAGAGAACTCAAGGATTACACTTTTGAATGTAAGTACTTGGTTCAGCTCAGATCAACAGTACAACTGTTAAAACCAAGGGCCTTAAAACCTCAAGTTTTGTGTTGTCAAGGTTGCTAGGCAACAGGAGCCACACCTTGCGATGCAACAGTAAGGGCTAAATGGAATAAGACCAGGTCAGACCTGATTCAGAACTGATCGGAGATCAGTCACTGTTAAATACACCTGTGTTTACATGTTAAAATGGACACCACCTAACTTTACTTCATCATGGCATTCACACACATTCCCTCCTGCTTCCAGTCTTTGTGCTAAGCTAGGCTAACCATAGATCTGACATGGACAGTATTGATCATCAGACTGTGGGTCATCTGTAATTTACAAACAGTTGGACTACTCTCTTTTTACCCTGTCTCGTCTGTGCGGCTATAGATGTGATTATGTTTTATGACAGTTTGTATGAGGGTGTAGAGGTTTACATTTGTCTCTGAAGGCAGCAGCAGCAGCAGCTACTGGTGTGATGGGAAGCCACAGAGCTGGACCCAGGTTCACTTGTCATTTACAGGCTCAACTTTAACTCCAATGTTTTCCAGATGTTACAGATGTTATTGCCACATTATTACTGCTGGTGGAGCCCCAGCTGTGAAACGAACCACAGCAGCCCAGCCTCAGTACTGGTGGTGGAGGTAGTTGTTTCTCCTGGCTGCAGGCCACAGACCGTTACAGGCTTCATCTGACGGATCAGTGTCAGGCTCCAGATCTGAGGCTGGATGATAATGGAATTCATTTTCTATAATTTCCATTCATAAAACTATTAGTCAATGACCAAACTAATACAACCCGAGAATATATATAAAGAACAAATAAATATATAATCACTCTCCATCAGCTATTGTTTGCTCTCTCCTCCTTCTTCCTTTTTGTTGACCTCTGATCTACTAATCCTGTCTATCCGTACAGGGTTGACATTAGCAGTAAAACATTTGCAGTAGATGTTTATGTGTACCAGCAGCAGAGACGGATGCATTTGTTGACTTTTTATGTAGTCATATATTTAATAATGATAAAAAAAGGCTCTGTAATTTCCTAAAACAGCTGGTCACTTTAGTTTTAAGCAAATGTTACTCTAACAGAAGGAAATATTGCATTTGTTGGGGACTATTTTCAGCATTGGATTAATCCACATTTGGTGGTTTAGTGAGTGTTTCAGGGAGCAGAATAGTGTGTGTGGGTTAAATTAAACTACAGTGTCTGTTCATCGTAATGAAGGGAAATGTCAGCCAGTGTGGCTCACTGAAAAGTTAAGAGTCGGTTAAAGGAGCTGTTTGTAAGTGTTGCTACTGCTACATAGCTAATGTTAGCATTAGCAGCTGTCTAGAAGAAACATTGTGAGTTCAGCATCAGACTTCATTCCTTTACTCACCAACAGCTGTCTCCAGAGGTGGAAAGAAACACCAATGTTGTGTCTTTTCTGCTACTGAAGCTAACATGCTAACCAGCTAACCCCGGCCCAGCGGGACTGTCTTGTCACTTTTTCCGATACCAAGTCACTGTAGCATCCAGTCGTCACACCTGGCACCCCAGTACTTCCAGTACAGTCCTACCTCCTTTAACACATCTGTTGGTGTCAGAGTAGGCAGACATATACAGAACAGAATGATGTATAAACAAACTACATTCATTGAATTGAATCTGAAGTGTTAATATTAACATTAACATAAATAAGTAATTGTAGAAAATATAACACTGAGCTTTGGCTGTTGCCTGGTAATTCTATCAGCTGCATCAGACCCATTCAAACAAGCTCCCCCAGATTTACCTTAGAAACGTTCAAATATAAAATATTATTCATACTGTGGCTTAAATACATGATGGTTATTATTCACTGAGAGATGGGCTTTCATGTTGCCCAGTATGGCTAGCTATGTGGCCCCTCCTGAGACTAGGAAGGACTCCTGATCTGTAGAAGACATCACGAGATGTAAACCTACACTGAGATGGTTTTTAGTTCTTAAAACCACAAATAAATTCTTATGGATCAACACTTCAAATAAAACATAGGACAGGAGGAAAACATGGAGCTTTAATCTCCCATTAAAACTGTTCAGAATGTGTGTACAGACACATACGGGAAAAGCAAAGGCAATAGGGGAAAAGCGTTTTTTGTTTTTTTGTTTTTTTCAATTAAATTTCGATTTTTATTTATTTGTCTGTATATATACTTATTTGTTCTTATTTTATTTCCACATTTCTTTTCTTTTTATAGACTTAATCTTTTTTGGCACTCCTATGACTCCATAGAAAAACTAATGAACTATAAAGGATAACTTTGATGATAAAGTTTACATTTTCAAATTAATTAAAAAATTGCAAAACAAACTCTAACTAATCATAATAACGTGGCCGTTAAACAACGGCCGCATAAAGGAAAATAAAACAGCTACTAAAGTCATCCGAATGCTGGAAAGTCTATTTTACGAGCGTACACAAAGGGAACTGTGGTCTGCTGTGAACTCTGGGTAATGAAGTGTTTCTATGTTGTTGTGCACTCATGTATCAGGTTAGCTTTTAACGCTCCGAACTCTAACAGCAGTAGATGAACAGTCACAATGATGAAGGGAAAGACGGTGATAGTGACTGGAGCCAACAGCGGGATCGGGAAGGCCACCGCAGCGGGGATAGTGAAGCTCCAGGGCCGTGTGATCATGGCCTGTCGGGACCTGAGCAGGGCTGAGCAGGCGGCCCGGGAGATCCGAGAGGAGACCGGTGCAGACAGTTCACAGCTGGTCCTCAAACAGCTGGACCTGGCCTCGCTCACATCTGTACACACTTTCTGTCAGGACATAATGAAGGTAGCTGGACGGATTTCTGTCGCTGATCAGAGTTTGTTTCACAGACAAGTGCTTAAAAAGAACGTCAGACCAAACTTCATTCGGAAATTGTGCATTTCTATAAATATGACTGTCTTATCTCTGAATCCTTCATCCGTTAGAATCCAACAGTATATTTTCTCATTGAAGAAGCTTCACTCTTTAATTCGGCTTAGGTTTGATTTCACAAATATCACTTATGTAATAACAATTTCAGATTAATCAGACTGCAGTTCCTGTCTTCACACTTTACACGTTAGATTAAAAGTTATGTATTTTTTTTATATTTGAGTAAAATAGCTGCTGCTCAAATGATTATTTAACAGCTGAACTGAATAACATCACTCATCGATTCTCAAAAGCGCATATGAAGCAGTTTTTATTTTTGTTATTAATGTGTCTTCCTTCATTTATCAAGACAGGAACATTTTTTTAATGGAGTTCTCACAGCTCAGGAGTAACAGTAAAATTTGTGGATGTGCAAACACTAATAGATTCAGTGTGCCATTTAATTTATTCACTATTGTTATTGTTTTTAGCGGTAGCAGTCATTAATAATAATACTAGCAGCTTTCAGCAGCTTTTGTAGTTTGTATCTGAATCTCCACCATAACTGTAGTCCAGACAGTATTTAGAATTAATGTCACTAAATAAAACAGTGATGCGGATGAACATGTTTTTACCTTAAACCAGGTGTGGTACGGTGGCCAACAAGGGCAAACTTGCTGCAACAGCCCAAAACACTTCCATTAGGAGAAATGAGCTGCAGGTTCGAAAAAACATGCGTAAATACAAAACAAATACAACAATGGAAACGTGCTGCAGGAATTCAAAACAAAAACATGAACAGCAAACACACTGCAAACACAGAGACCACGCAAAAACAAACAAACATAAACCTCCAAAACAAATGCAACAGACAACACAACGGAAGAGCGCCAGGCCTCTTGGGGGGAGCGCTCAGTGGAACACCCCTAGACTGTATATAAGCTAATGCTAACACTTGCTACGTTATCTGTTGCTCTTTTATAATATTGTAAAAACTACAGCCAAATGTAAAAAAAAGAACACAAACATTTCATCACCTCTTTATGACGCCTCCTCTTTCTTCCCTCATACTCTCTCCTCAAAGGTCAAAGGTCAGGTTGTAGGTTGTCTGGCCTCTTGGGTCGAAGCTCAAGATTATGTTCAAGGTTCCTCCTCTTAGCACTTAGTTATATAAGTGCTAAGAGGAACACCTTTATAAGCGCTAAGAGGAACATATGTTGTTATATAATTGTTATATAAATTATATGGTACAGAATCTGGACGCCACTGACTGAAACCCTGTCCTCCTGTAGCCACACGCGACACGACTAGATGCCACTGATTGTTATATAAATGATATGTTTGTTGTTTTGTTTTATTTTAAAAAGGTATCAAGCCTCCTTGATAACACCAGAAGCTGTATGGTTACTGACTGGCCTTGTGTCATTTTATTTTAATGTGACATGAATAATTAGTAGGATACCTGTCATTATTAAAGCATCATGTAGACTACACAGTGTAGCTTTAGTATATTACACAGAGACACACTGTTTGTCCTCTAGTGCAGGTTTGACACTGACTGTGCGTTCACAAAGTAAGCCTTTTGTCTGTAGCTGAGTGTCTCTGTGCTGAACAGGAGGAGCCTCGGTTGGATGTTCTGATCAACAACGCTGGGATCTACCAGTGTCCCTACACCAGGACAGAGGACGGCTTCGAGATGCAGTTTGGGGTCAACCACCTGGGCCACTTCCTGCTCACCCACCTACTGCTGGACCTCCTGAAACGATCCGCTCCCAGCCGCGTGGTGGTGGTCTCCTCCAAACTCTATAAGCACGGACACATTAACTTCGAGGACCTGAATAGCGAGCACGCCTACGACAAGGCGTTCGCCTACAGCCGCAGCAAACTGGCCAACCTGCTGTTCACCTGCGAGCTGGCCCAGCGGCTGGAGGGCAGCGGGGTGACGGTGAACGCTCTGACTCCAGGCATAGTGAGGACTAACCTGGGGAGGCACGTTCACATCCCAGTGTTAGCTAAGCCCCTGTTCAGCCTGCTCTCCCGGGGCCTGTTCAAGAGCCCGGAGGAAGGAGCTAAGACCTCAGTGTATCTGGCCTGCAGCCCAGAGGTGGACGGCGTGCAGGGACAGTGCTTCGCTGATTGTCAGCCTCAGGTCCTGCTGGACAAGGCCACAGACCGGGACGTGGCCAGTAAACTGTGGGACATCAGTGAAGTCATGGTGGGCATCACCATGTGAGATCAAACAGTATATCCTCAGGGTTATCATGACAGAGACACGTCCATTATCTGAAATCATAAAAATCATAAATATTCAGTTCCCGCTCTGGTCAGAAGAAGAATGATTCTTTCTCCTCCATCAAGGTCAGATCACAGCTGTAATGTCAGTTGTGGTTTACTACAGTCACACTGGTCTGGTTGCCATGGTATCACCTGACAACAATTGACATGGCTGCAGGTCAAAGCAGGGAGCTGACTGACACTCTTCATCTTTACCTGGTGACCAGCAGTTTGTTCTAATATAGAATAAATACAGATTCTGAACCAGTGATTGGACCCTATATGACCGCAGTGCCTCCTCCCAAAGCTGAAAAGTTTGTGTCAATTCAAATTTGAGAATTTTTGTATTTTATTTTTGTGTTTTGATTTTGATCAACTTGATTGAAGAGTTTCCTGTCATTGCTTCATTTCAGTGCAGCAGTGTGTCGATCTGTGTAAGAGACAGACTGAAATAAAGTCATTGCACCGACTGATTTTTCTACGTTGAATAAAAAACATATTTATTTATTTATATTTTTCATACAGTTCATACACAGAGGTCATTCATTCTGCTTTACATACAGCTGATAAAAGACAAAGAAATGTGTTCACATTGAGTTTTTATTCCTCTGCACCGGTGGCTGTCAGGGCTGGTGGCAAATTGTTTTCAGGTTGTCTGTCCCACTCTTGTGGACGTGATATCTCAGTAACGTCCTGACGGAAGTTCTTCAGATTTTGCACAAACATTCACTTGGACTAAAGGACGAACTGGTCACATTTTGGTGGTCAAAGGAGTCAGAGTTCAAGGTCATGATGCGACGCAATATCTCAGTAACATCTTGAGGGAATTTCATCAAATTTAGCACAAATGTTCACATGGACTCAAGGATGAACTGATTTGATTTTAGTGGAAAAGTTAAAGTTAGGCTATAAACCAACTACACCACGGTCACATGACTTCACCGTCACCACCACTAAACTTCAACTAATTTGATTTAGCTCTTATCTTTTCTGTAAAAGCCTTTCCTCTGACACGGTTAGAACCAGTTTGTTTAAACACAGCGAGTCTCTGATGGTGGACTGGTGAGTAGATCTGTTTTCATGTTCAACGTGATGACGTTTAACCTCTTGTAAGGGACGTAAAAGCTTAAAGAAATCACCTCCGGGATATTTACTGACATATTTTATGTCGTAGAATAAAACATGAGCTTGTGTTAACCACAGACCTTATTTCAAGTCATCTAACTAAAACACATTCAGCAAACCCAGACACTTTGGGATGAGGGAACAGGAAGTGATAAAATACCACTAAATTCCAGGTTCAAGGACTCATTCCTGCAGAACTCTAATACAGACCACAAAACAAAACAAATCACAGATTGTTGTTTTTTTTAAATTAATCATGAGACTGCTGCTGATTAGCTTCAGTTTCTCCTCAGATGTTAACTTGACGAGGTCCTCTGTTGGTGGCCCCTCCACAGAAGCCTTCTCTTGCTCCCTCTCGTCATTTACAGTAAAATGATCACATGTAGCACACGTGTTATTTCCTCCGCTGTGTTGTTCTCTGGATGTTGGACTGCAGTCAGCCACTGAACCCCAGAATCAAACCAGCTCTTCAGGGGTTCGTTAGGCCTCAATCAGCCATGCTGGTTGCTCTGAGAGAGGTCATTAGCTGGCGGTGTTTTCTCTCCCAGTCACCCACAAACAGAGCACCTCTCCCTACATGAAGCGGTAGTGAGACCCCCGGGACACATAATGATTTTCCCACCTGTATTCTTCATTAGGACATTTTCTGGATCATTTATAGAGAGCTGGAAACGCAGAGGCAGCCTCTTTATCAAATTCATCTCACACTAAATGCTCCTGGGGCATTTTAATGGCAGCTCCATGCTATTTATTTTACAAATAACTCCAATTAGAGCAATTACAGAGTTTAATGTCCTTAATCTGCGCAGTAATACTGATACTGCCGAGCTAATGTAGAAGTGAGGCCCTCACTCAGGCTGCTTCACTTCAACACATGATGGTTCAATTAAAACAGCATCAGTCTGTCGTTTCCTCAGCTTCTGTTGGACTCTGCTCACAGAGCTCAGGCCTTCTAATAAACTCCCACAGTGCACTGCTCCCACTGTACAAGACCAACTGTCCTGACAGTGTCACTCCATTCTGGTCTAGACTGAAATGTTAGAACTACCTTTGGATGCATGGTCATGAAGTTTGGATCAGACGTTCATGTTCCCCACAAGATTACCTGTAATAACTGTGGTGATCATTTGTTGTGAGCTTCAGGAGCTACATCTGAATCTTAATTTCTCCAACGCTGGTTTATGATCAAATACCTGCAAAGAAACTGGTGATCAAGGTGGTGGGATTTCCTCTTCTTTTATGCCTTGTCCCTGTTTGTTTACGGGGACAAAGGCGTCACTGACACTGAAAACAGAAGGGGACTGCATGCTAGCGATATAGCATGCAAACCAGCATTCTGGACAAACTTGTTATCTGTCTAACACAGGGAACGCTCATTTATTGTGTAGCAGCCCATCTGGAAAAGTCCCAGGTCTCCCAGTGGCCACTCTGTCACTGTTAAACTATTTGCTGCTATTAGAAGGAGTCTAAATTCAGCTTCATTATTTTTCATGAACTAGTTGCTCAAAATACCAAAGACCCTGGTTCAAAACTGTAAAGCTGATGAGTTCAAATTATTTCTATGACATGAACCTGATCAGAACCTCACTCCAGTCCCAGACAGTTCTCTGTGCTACACCTGACCATCTCCTAAGCTAAGGCCTAACCACAACTGCAAAGGTGGGAAACACTCTCAAAGTCATGCTGCTCCACGGCCTGCTGCTGCTGCTGCTGCTGCTGCTGCTAATGACATGAGCTGAAGGAACCTGACATCACAGCTGATGTTAGACATGATGGTGCGACCGAGGCCACAGCACTCTGCAGCAGGACAATTACGGAGGTGATGGAGATCTTAAAGGTATGTGCAGAAAGGTTTTGGTTGAACATATCAAGATGTCAGATAGTTTCACACTGTAACTCTCAGACAGAGCTGCAGCCCTGCAGACGTACAGACCTCAGAGCAGCAGTGGTTCAGATGGAAGGAGCTGCAGCTTGAGAAACATGAAAGTAAATAATGTCTGAGGAACAGTCAGGATATCGACAGCCTCTCTTCACCAGGGTTTACAAACAAGATATGACAGATATCGATGCTTTTAAAAGTCTGATGTGTCTCAGCCCTAAGAAACCACATATATTTTACATTAGTAGTGATTTTCTAAAGTATAACATGATTTACATAATGTTACCATGTTTATTTCATATATCCAGGAAACCATGTTTACTCAGTACACCTCAGTATGATGAAATCCAACTATAAGATTAATGTGACACTTACAGTGAGGTCATTAACTACAGTTATCCTCATGTCTGTTTTTCTTGTTGACATCACTACAATATACAGTGAATATTTGTACACACAGTTACTATGTTAACTTACAGGACACAACAACAGCACAACATGCTCTGGATAATGTTTAACATTGGTGTAAATTATGTTGTTTTGCAGTAATTTTCCTACAACATTCACCAGCTCTGGTTTGGTCCTTTAACTGTAAGCAGCACTGTGAAGACCATGTGGTTTGTGCTGAAAGCTCACTCCTCATCAGGTCTACTGTTCATTCAGTCTGTCCATAGACACTCCTTCAGTGAGTTTGTGTTGTGTTAGGGAATGATGAATGGATGAAGCTCAGAGAGGAGCGGTAATCAAATATTGATTTAATAATATATTTAATAATATATCATAATAATCAGGAATATGAACACACTGTGAACAGCTGTTACACTGCCTCCGGTGGTGACAGTGAGTGACAGGACTTGGATCATGCTCCTGCCTCACAGTCTGTATTAGATCTTCACATTTGGTTTAAAGCTCAGCTCTGCTGTTGTTCTGCAGCAGGGTTAGGGCTTAGGGTTAGATTCAAGACTTAAAACTTTATTAACACCTCAGTGGAGCTGTCTGCAGTTTGGTTATCAGGACGTCAGTGCACTGCAGACATGTGAGAGGTGCAAACATGAATAACCACAAACAATTCTAACTGCAAAATATATAAAAGGGTGAAATAAATACATAAATAAAAGCAGTGTTACCACAGGATGTTATCAGCATTATGATGAAACTCCAGGCTATAGTTTATTTTTATTTCCCACATTCATGCCTAAATCTTGTATTACAACCTCAGACACCCCTAATTTGGACCATACCGCATTAGCTAATCATGTTGTCTGCATGCCTCCTTTGTGTTGTACAAGCAAATTACATAAAAGTAATAGCAGTAGCTAACTATATAGCTATATAACTATATACACCCTTTCATTGCCATTGTTAGCTTGACATCTCATTACCAATATAAAATGGTCTAATGTTAGCAAACACTGGTGTTCATTCATGAGCAGTGAGACAATGGAGGATTAGTTGTTGTAGAGATACGTTTTAGGATCAATAACTAGTTTATCATTTCATGTTAATGGTCTTTGTGTGTCTGTGGAGGTTTAGTTAGTCTTTTACTTTTTTGATATTAACTTCTATAATATTCACCATCTTTGTTTTCACTCAGGGACTCAGAAGTTTTACCTGAGAGAAGTGGACTGTGGTCTCCTGGTCTGATCCCCAGTTAATTTGGGTAAGTAACAGAGAAGAACCTGCTCTGTGTGTGGATGAGTTGTAGCACTATCAGGTCTTGGCTCCTGTCTTCTTTACTTTCAGCAGGACTTCTTTATCTTTCACCTTGTTTCCTAACAGCAGCTGGAGCAGCACCAGGCCTACACCAGGCTGAAGGAAAACAGCTGACTGTTTAGTTTGGCTCAGTTCATCCAAATGTGTTCAGTGCTGCTGTGGCCTCAGACCACGACGCTGAACTCCTCAACTCTCCCAAAATACACAACCGATTATTGTCTGCTGGTTTTTATTGTATGATAATTAGAAAGCCAGTGATTGGTCACTGATAATGTAGATGTCTGGATTTACACACAGAGACGTGGTTTGTTTTCACTTAAACAGACGATGTAGGCTAGTCTATGGGTATTCTGTAATCTTTATTAGTTAACGCTCTGTTTGAGTTAGTGTGGTTGTGTGACTATAGTCTAATATTATTTTTTAAAAAGCATTAAGACCCCAGTTCCATATGTAACACATACACATGAGATTGATATCCATCTTCTCATCTCACTCTCAGTATTTCCTCAAAATGCTGAACTATTCCTTTAATAAACAGTGTCATGGTCTGCTCTGAGGGGATATTGATTTCCTGTTTTACTTTGAAATTACTTCCCTTGAGTGTCTCATGGTTGCTACTCCTCACTTCTTATCTTTGTCCAGTCTCCCTCTATTGTGATTATCTGACCCATTCTAATGTCATACACCTGTGTCTTGTTACGTGCTCCCCTTGTTATTTAGTCTCTATTCTCCCAGTTGTCTTTG